GGTTTTTAAAAAACTGGGTAAGGAGAGCTCGCGCTTTGCTTCTGCCGTGCTGCTACATCTCCCGAAGGAGCTGCTGGTGTAGGGGTGTGATAGGTTGTTACAGCCGCCATAGCCAATGAATACATCCAGGTTTTTAAAAAACTGGGTGAGGAGAGCTCGCGCTTTGCTTCTGCCGTGCTGCTGCATCTCCCGAAGGAGCTGCTGGTGTAGGGAAGACCCGTGGCCGCAGCCTCCTGCACCTGTGTTTGGGCAGAGCTGCGATGAAGGGCCGGACAGCTGCGGGTCCTCTGCACCACTGCTGAGACCTGGTGTCTTCTCTTCATTTCACCTTTGCCTTCTGCTTTCTGGAGAACCACAGCCTCGGAGGCTGGAGATTTTGCTGCGTCATTTCCTCCAAGTTCAAGGCTGAAGAATTAGGAAACGCAGGGAGCGCTCTGGAGGAGTGTAGAGAACCAGGTCTGGACAGATAAGAGGGGCCCCTTTCGAGTCTGGCTCTTCTTACCAAGGACGAGCATGTGGGCAAATGCTGGGAAAAGCCCATCGTTACCACCGCCAAGGGTCTCCCCGGCAGCAGCGGCCTCTTTCCCCGAGCTGTGAGCAGACCCTAGCTGGGGGGGGCACCCTCCGTGCTGCAGGATGAAATATGCGAGAACGAGATAGGATGCTCAGAAATTCAAAGAAGCAGCGAAACAGAAATAAGAAATCACAGATGCAAATAAAGAAAGAAAAGAAAGAGGCACATCTCTGCGTTTGCAGCTGTTCCCTGCACTAGGAGCTGGCGCCCCTCCTCTTCTGTCCTGCGTTTTATTGCGGCATATAACCGTGGCAGCTGCTCCACTTTTATCTGGCAACCTGAAACCCAAACAAAAATCCTATTCTGGGTACGGTCACTTTAAAAGGAAGCTGCTTCTCCTTTTAAAGCCCAGGAGAGCCCCCAGCTAGAAACAGCCTCCTTGCTACTGAAAGGCGAGGCCACCCCTGTCCTCGTTATTTCCCGGACAAGCCCCCTGGCTTCAGCGGTGGGAGGAGAAGCAGCTCGAACCTCTTTTCTGGATATGCCTCACCCTCCCTGTCCCTACTTTTTCTCAGGATAGACACAGAACAGAGAGAAGCGGGGCAGGTTTCAGTACTCGTGGTGGCATCTCACTCTGATGGCCCAGTGGTAGGGGTTGAATTGTGTCCCCTGTCCCCGAATTCCTGTGTTGAAGTCCTAACTCCAGTAACTTAGAATGTGACTTATTTGGAAGTAGAGCCATTGCAAGTGCAGTAAGTTAAGATGAGGTCGTGCTGGAGCAAGGTGGGCCCTAATGCAATAAAGTTGGTATTCTCATAAAAAGGTGTATTTGGACACAGTTATACACACAGGGAGACCACCAGAAGAAGAGAGGAGGGATGCTGTTTCTGGTAGCCAGGAAACTTCCAGAAGTTGGCAGAGAGGCTTGGGACAGGTCCTTCCCAGAGCCTTTAGAAGAAGCGCAGCCCTGCCGACCCCTTGATCTCAGACTTCTGGCCTCCAGGACTGGGAGACAATGACTTTCTACTGTTCTAAGCCACCCAGTTTGTGACACTTTGTTACAGCAGCCATAGCAAACCAATACACCCAGGTTTAAAAAAAAAAAAAAAAAACCTGGGAAAGGAGAGCTGTCACTTTGCTTCCTGGCACTACCGTCTGCCGATGGAGTTGCTGGTTTAGGGGAGACTTGGTGGTCAGTTCCAAGAGCCAACCTGCAGCAGACCCACGTCTTTGATGATAAATCCACAGTCTGTTCACAATTCCATCTTCATAAAGAAGGCAAGTTTTAACTTCCCCTCCCAGGGCGTCTCAGTGTCAGCACTACTGGCATTTGGGGCCGGATCATTGTTGTTGGGGGTGGGGGCCTGTCCTGTGTATTGCAGGTGGTCAGCAGCGTCCCTCGCCTCTCAACCTTTTAATGCCAGTAAGCACCAGCTGTGACAACCAAAAATGTTTCTTGGCAGTGCTAAACCTCTCTGGGGTGAAAGGGGTGTCAGGGGCTACAAAATCACCCCTTGAGAACCCCTGTCCTGAGGGATTCCACCGTCATACCTTCTTGGAACCCAGGTTCTCAGCTCTGAAGTTCACGTCCCTCAGCAAAACAGAGGAGATGCATCGATGTGAAGGGCACTTCTTACAAGGCACAGTGGCGGGTGGTGACAGAGAGGGCATCTGTAGACTAACAGGACCTAGAATGCTGTGGTCTTCCCAACCTGGCACCAGCCGAGGACACTGGTTTCAGCTGGTTTCTGTAGCAGACCCGACGTCTACCTTCGACTTCGGCGTCTCATGAGGGAAGGGATGTGGAGAGTCCCCGGCTCCTTGGCAACACATTTTCCTGTCCTCTTTGCCCTCCCCCTACTCCTCTTTGCCCTCCCCCTACAGTTGCTGAGGATGCCAGCTGAAGAGATGCTGTGACACGCCATGTCCCTTTCAATGCTCAGCCCACTGTCCTGGGCTGGAGGGAGCCTCCACATTTCTGTGGTGCTTACATATTTGGAAACGTGTGACAGACGACTCTGCCAAACGTGTTCAGCCGTATTTATTCTTTTGGCTTCAGTTCAAAGGCGAGAGCTCGATGCGCCAGCAAATGGAGACTAGAATCCCAATTACCCCACTCACTGGTGAGCAAATGGAGTTTATTTTAATGGTCTCCAGGCTGTTGATTTGTTTAAATCAGTTAAATGACCAAAGTGGTATTGTTTTTTCCTGCTTGTTAAAGACAGTTACGGATCCCATTCACCAATGTGCCCGAGGGCATTAAGCCCCTCACGAACTCAGGAGAGGCTTCCTTGGGGAGCGGGCGGTGACTCCGGCCATCTGCCAGCCCACAGCCACAGGGACAGACAGACAGAAGCTCTGGGGCATGTGAGAGAAACAAGACAGAGGCATCACTCAGAGCTGAAAGCTCAGATGTCACTGGGCCCCATTCAAAGGCGAGAGCTCGATGCGCCAGCAAATGGAGACTAGAATCCCAATTTCCCCACTCACTGGTGAGCAAATGGAGTTTATTTTAATGGTCTCCAGGCTGTTGATTTGTTTAAATCAGTTAAATGACCAAAGTGGTATTGTTTTTTCCTGCTTGTTAAAGACAGTTACGGATCCCATTCACCAATGTGCCCGAGGGCATTAAGCCCCTCACGAACTCAGGAGAGGCTTCCTTGGGGAGCAGGCGGTGACTCCGGCCATCTGCCAGCCCACAGCCACAGGGACAGACCGACAGAAGCTATGGGGCATGTGAGAGAAACAAGACAGAGGCATCACTCAGAGCTGAAAGCTCGGATGTCACTGGGCCCCGAGAGCTGAAAGCTCAGATGTCACTGGGCCCCACGTGCTGGTGCCCAGTGAGACGCCAGGTAAATTGTCCATCAGTTCTGTAGCGGGTGAGGGGTGGGGGCTGGGAGGGATGCCACCTACTGCCTAGAGCTAATTAGGAGAAAACTTTCCAAGTCTGTACAGAAGGCTGTATACCCAGCTTCCAATCGTTGGCACTTCCGTATCTTTGGATGTGTTTTCTTTGGGGGCAAGGATGGCAGAGGTCACCTGTCTTTGGCCCTGCAGACCTCCAGTTTGGGTCCTTGTCTTGGGTGCAGACTGGCTCTTTTGTATTGACTGATTCTGTGACATGGCTCGGACTCCCCGCTTCCCTCCCGTCTTTCTGCTGCTGGTCCTTGGCCTCAGTGATTGCTTTGCTTGAGAAAGAAGGGCCAGAAAACATAGCAGCAGGTTCACCATGCAGTGCAGACCTTTCTTGAGGCTTGGAGGCTGCACTTGGAGCCGGGTAGGTTAGGTGAGGTGCTGGGTCCAGCTCAGCCCCCCATTCCAGATCTAGGGGCCCTTCGCAGCCGTGTCTCTGTGTCTCGGTCTGTCCCATCTGGCAACTGGGATGATGGATGATGTGGAGACTTTGTGGTGTGTTCACGTCATTCTAAATATGTGAAAAGGTGCTGAGCAGATGTAGACTGCACTGGGGCTGAGCAGAGGGGCTTTGCTGGAGTGCAAGTTTGGCCCCTCCACCTGGTTTTCTCAGACTAAGCCATAGACCCCACTGGCCTAGGGGCAGGAGACCCTCAGCAGCTGATATTTATTGTATCAGAAAATAATTTAGCTGATTTCACCTTTAAGTCCACATCAGGGTGAAGATCCCCCGCCTCCCACTGGCAGCAGAGTAAAGTCCAGCACCCTGTCGAGGTCTAGAGCGGGTTTCCTGCCCTCAACACTGTTGGCCTTGCAGGCTGGATAGTTATTTGTCGGGGGTGGGGAAGGGCGTCCTGTGCAGTATAGGACGTGTAGCAGCATCCCAGCCTCTACCCACTAGATGCCAGTAATACCCCCTCCCCAGCTGTGAGAAACAAAAATGTCTACAGACACTGCCAGATGGTCCCCAGGGAGGAAGGGAAAATTGTCCCGCCTGGAATAGCTGCACTAGAGGCAGAGACCTTGCTCTCATGTCAGCTGCCTGTCTGAGCCCGTCTGGAAGCAGCTAGAGCTCTCTGTTGTCCTCTGTAAATATAGTGCGTGTTGGCTGTGTCTCCTGGCTCCAATAATGAAGGCCCTCTGGAGTGTCCTCCCTTGGCGCAAGCTCACAATTACGAGCTGGCTGATCTTTTCCCCAGGGGTGGTTTGCAGACACTAGCTGGCCTCAGACTGCCCATAAAGAGCCATGGGAACGCTCCTGAGCTTAGGGGTGTTTGTGGTCTCAAGTACAATGTTGTGGAACCATCTAGGTTAAGCCAGACTCAGTTATAACCAACCCCAGTGCCCAAGCACCAAGCCCTGGAAATGTTTTCTCTGTTGTTTGACTGGACAAAGCATTGGTTTGGAAATAATGATTATGGAATTAATCTCAGACTCTGTGAACCACGGCACAGAAACATGAATGCCCGTATGCTTAGAGAAGGTCTCGGGTGACATCGTTTGAAAAAAATAAACAAGTAACATTGAAAAAGAAAAGTTCTTGTGAGGTCATGGCCTGAACTCATGGTGATTCTTTTTTCTTTTCTTTGTTTTTTCATATTATGCTTTTTTTTTTTAATAGCAACATCAGAGTACTAAATATACACAGGAAAGTTAATATAGGTGTTGCATTTACAATGTTTTCCAAATACATATCTTTGAAATACAGAAACAACTTTAAAAATCTGGAATAAAAGTTCACCTGTATGGAAATCACACCCAGCCACCTGCCCCCCACCCTCCCCACTCAAATATATTGTGTCGTTTTTGTTTATTAACATGATTATGATATGCATTTAAAAAAACACAACATTGAACTACAGTAGTTTAACTCTTTCAAGAAGATGATATATAAATATGTCTACAGAGACAGCCATGGTATGGAGAACACGTGAACAGAGAGGCTTTTGTTTTTCTTTCAAAAAATAACCAGTGCTCCATGTAAAAGTATAAATAAACAGTTAACGATTTATTGTATCAGAAAATAATTTAGGAAAATCAAAATAAACCCAGTTTTGCCATACATGGGAAAGGCAGGAAAACAAAGTTCGAACACATTCAACTTAACGCCAGTGAAGATATAGGCCACTGTGGCCGTGGCTGTTTCGTTTCTCATCCTGTAGGTTAGGTTCACGGTGGTGACTTTCCAGTTCCATGGGTGAGCTAGGCAGGGAGGGGTCAGGAACAGTGGCTCCATCTTTAAATGTATGTAACGAGACCTGACCTGGCAAATGCAAGTGTTAGCAACCACACTGTGAGCACCGAAATGGAAATGGGTCCCTCTGTTTCTCACATCTGCCCATCTTTAAATGTATGTAACGAGACCTGACCTGGCAAATGCAAGTGTTAGCAACCACACTGCGAGCACCGAAATGGAAAGGGGTCCCTCTGTTTCTCACATCTGTAACTCTCAGATACATGCCCCATGTGAAAAATCCCATCAAGGATTTGGATGTTTCTCTGAGTATTCTGTTCATTCCACCCCAACGCCCAGATGTGCCCAATGACTAACGCTTGACGATGTGAAAGCCAAACAGCCAAATGCTTGACTGGCTTTTCCATTTAATCCTAGACACACTCTTATGATCAATGACGGGTTCAGTCAGTGACAAGTTAAACCGGCAAAGATGCATCCAAAAGCTAATTGGGCTTCCTTTCTACAAAACACCCACCGGAGCCAGATTCATGCACGGTGCTAACCATGGTGAGATCTCTGCAACTTGCCCCACGTGTTCAGCATTTAATTCCACCAAATTGAACACCAGTGGAAGGGTTTCAAATGTTCCCCTTCTGTTTGGCTATTGGCATGTTCTAAGTGATTTTCAGCAAACATTTGCTCTTTTGGGGAAAAAAAAATGTAAAAGACTTTAAAAATATTATCAATGCATGGCCTTAGGCAATGTCCAGTTTAACTCATTCTGGGTGTAAATCACATTCGAGCAGACACCTGCTCGGTAGCACATGTGTGGAGTGACTGGACACTGATGTCTAGTCTCCCTCATCTCTTGTCCATCCATATATCAATGTAAGTTAAGTAAACGCAATCAACAAAGCCATCAGCGGTCACGTGAAGCTTTGCTGCTGCTGTTCTGCTTGCCATTTAAATCACTGCAGCTGGAGAGGGACCCTGCCCTGGGCTCCAGCACCCACTATCTCTGTCTCCAGGAAAGTAAGAGGAAGACATGACCCAAGTGGGGCTGCCAGAAGAAGATGAAATACTAAAAAGAAAAGAACAAAACAAAACAACCAACTCTCTAGTTTTTTTAAGAAAACAATTTTCTGGCACCCAAAAGTGGTCACGTGTCCCCCAAATCTCAATGTTGCCTACCAAAGCTTTGCAAGTTTCCACCTCTCCCTCTCACCACACTATCTGAGGGAGCAGAAACTCTCGGGGACTGTATTCTCCTGTCTTCAGTCCAAGCAGCGTGACCTGTGACAGATTCTGATACGCTGCTGAACCTCCCTTTGTCATCTCGGGTTTGGAATTCATTTTCAAGGATCAAAATTATCAACAGTTGTCTGAGAACTAATTTTGCCAGGACCCCTTCACCCTCTGGCTTCAGAGGAAATGACCCAAACACAAATACAAACAGAAAATAGAACAAAACACATCTGTAGATCGTGGCAGTTAAATTCAAGGAGGGTGTGGCCAAACACCTGCTCTGTCATGCCCACTGACTTTTTAAAACCTGCTGCCCTTCCTCATCTTCAAGGCCTTTAACTGGGAGAGCTGTTGTGTTTGTGTGTGGTAGTGACACCATATGTAAAGCACCACAGAAAATCCCCAGAACTTCCTAGGGTCATGCTGACTTGTGTGCACTCAAGAACAAGTGCCCATGTTGCCTTGTTAAGTTGTAGGCAGTCACATACGCTGATATTAGAAATGCACACGAATAGATGAGAAATAATACGGAGTGGAGTTCCCAACCCAGAACAGATTCTGGAGGCAGAGGCAGAAGTTCCCTTCCTTGCAAGCAATGCTACCGGCCTGCTGTTATCCTTTCGTGGCTTTCAGCAGCCTGAGACTTCAGAAAAACTCCTTCTTTCTCCCTGTGCCCATGTTGCCTTGTTAAGTTGTAGGCAGTCACATACGCTGATATTAGAAATGCACACGCATAGATGAGAAATGATACGGAGTGGAGTTCCTAACCCAGAACAGATTCTGGAGGCAGAGGCAGAAGGTCCCTTCCTTGCAAGCAATGCTACTGGCCTGCTGTTATCCTTTCGTGGCTTTCAGCAGCCTGAGACTTCAGAAAAACCCCTTCTTTCTCCCACCCCCAACTAGTCCTCCAAAGGTTGGAAATTGGGGTTGGGGTGTCACAGTGGGTTTGAAATTGTCCCTTTTGGCTTGGGATAACTGAACAGTGGAGAATGACGAGATGATGCTATTAAGAAATTAGACAGTGGCCCAGGAATTGGTACCACGGTGTTTGTCCTGAAGTTCCCTGTACGTCAACTTGAAACAATGATACTGGGGGTCCCTCAGCCTAGAGTTTCAGCGGCTGCAAGTCTTCACGGCACATAATAGTGCCCGAAAACAGACCTCAGGGCTGCATAGTATTCTTGCTTCTCCCGTGGCCAAAGCTGCTCCCAATTCTTTGGAAGCGATAACTCACCAAATTCAGCAAGACCAGTGTTAACTGATGGCTTGTCAACCGGGAAGCTAGGAACATCAGAACTAAGAAATTTTATTGCAGCATTTCAGAAATCTGACAAAAGCTAACCTGTGCAATCAGCTGGGTTATGTCCACGTAAGAATATAGCTTCTAGGGAGCAGTTATTTAGTATTGCAAATACTTGGGTGTAGAGTTACACAAGAAAATGTGGGTCTCCAGGGGATTCCATTTTAAGAGACAGGCCACCTGAGACAAAACTAATTCACTCTTTTAAAGGAGAATTTCCTACCGTCCAATGTCTCTGCACCCGTTCCTGCCACACGTTACTTAGCAGATGTTTTACTGTGGAATTTAGGATATTGGCAGGAGTTAATTCAGCCCCAAGGGGATGTCTTAACAACTCCCTTGGCTTAGTGTATTGACCCATTTAATGGAATATTATCTTTGGCACATGTTGCACTATGATTCCAACCTACACAGGAAGACATAAAATGGCCATTTATATATTCACTGTACCTCCCCCCCCCACTAGTGGTTTAAAATCTCATCCTAAGTGTTTATAAACCTGCATCTCAGATGGGCAAAGTGGGCCCAGTTTATATGAGGCCTGTTAAACCAAGCTGGTCCTAGATATGACTTAGATTTATGGGTTCATTCAAACTGCACTCTTGATTCTCTCTCACAGTAACTCTTAGAACATGTAGCAGGGGATCCATCAAGAGCCAAAGGCAAGGGAGCTACCGGAAAGATTTATGTTACCCTTCCAGCTCCAGACCACACGTATCACGGAGCTGACCCTTCCCTTCAAGTGCCTTTACAACTGGTATTGGCTGTGCACATATGGGCATGGACTGTGGACCTGTCACTGGCATGTTTGGAAATCCGTGGAGAGGAGCCCCTGCTCCCAGCCCCCCGATGTCCACGCTCTACTGCCTCTTAAGAGCCCACCACAAGCATCTCTCCTCCCGCTCCTGGGTCTCTCCATATTCTGGGTGCCGTTGTGCACACAGCTTTTTCAGCCTGTGTTTAACCCCCAAAACCAAAGTGAAATAGAATGGAAGGGGGGTGTGCTGGCACTTCTGCACCCGGCTGGTCATCCCAGTGGGGCTGCTCTGTGTTTTGGGCAGAGAGGCTGAATCCTCTCCTCTGCCAAAGGACAAGGGCTACTGTTGGCCCCTTGGCACAAGGGGAACTTGTGCACAGAGCTAAGTTTCCTAGCTAGGGATTGCCTGGCCACACAGTGACAGGTGCAAACTTTGGAGACTGGCTACTGTGTGCTTGCCAGCTGAGATCTTCCTAGAATAATCTGAGGTCAGAAGATGCTCATCCTGCTTGTTTGGTGGCTGGGTGATTTAAAAGATGCTGATTCCCTGCCTATACCTCTATTTACCGGCTCCTTACATCCAAATGCAAGATTTAAAACAAAGGTGAAAGTGCACATAACACATCTTCACACTCCTTCGAAGGAAGAACTGATAGCATATTTCAAAATGCCAAACAATCATGTAAGACCTCCCCAGAAACCCCACAAATGGTGCTGAGAGTAACTAACAAGCACCACTTGGCTTGAGGTGAGAGACGAAGGAGTTCATCTTCATAGCAGGCAGCACATCAATGTAAAATAAGTGTGAAGAATAATCAGAGATTCTCAGATGATGAGAGTTTGGCTCACTTATGTGGGCTGTGCTATTTACGCTGGAAAACAAACAAACAATCAAAAAATGGCACGGCAGAGCAAATTGACAAACCACACCAGCGAAACCATTCCAAAATTACATGAATCACAGCATGTTTTGGAGTAACTGCCTACTTAAAAGCAGATGTTGTTTAAGAAAGAGGCTGCTAAGTGTGCTCAGTATTGGGTGGGGGGAGCTTTTAAAAAGGCAGATGCCTTCTGGTTCCAGGAGGGACGATGTCCCTGGGGCCCCCATGCCCTGTGGGCTGAATCTCTGTCCTTGAATTCCCTTACCCTCCTTGAGGTCTGCTTGACCTGATGGTGAACTGACAGGTAGAGATGCATGTCGGGAGGGCCCAGGGCGGGCAGTCTCAGGAATGGGGCAGGCTCAGTACGGCCCCTGCTGCAATGATTGAGGAATTGGGAAGCGTGGTTTGTAATGACTGGGACACCTGGTCCTTGGCACTGCACTGAATTTTTATGCACGAGATAAGAATAAAGCTTTCTTGCTCCATCCAACCCCAGACCAGCCCTCAGAAAGCAAGTGATGATTTCCCAGCAGGAGACAAAGGCAGGGAGGAGAAACACGGGTGGCTCCCAGCTCCTCTGTCCCTTCCTCTCTCCTGTCTCTCTGCTCCCTTGTCTTCCTCCCACTTCTCTCTCTCTCTCTGGAAATGATTTTGTTTGCCTCCATGTTAATTATCTGCCCCCTCCCCGCAGTAGAATGTAAAACTCACCGGGGCAGGACTGCCCACTTGGCTTCCCGCCATATTGCCAACACGTTGTTCGACAAGAAGTTCAACAAGTGTTTGTTGAATAAGCAGATGAACGAAAAATCGGCAGATTACGGGGAGCCTGGAAGAGTCATCTCTCTTCCGTTTGCATAAGTGAGCGGCGTCTTCTTAAAGAGCTCACATGTGGAGACAAGAATGGCTCTGGAAATCAGACGTGTTGGAGTCTTTTCCCATCATGACTTGAGGAATAGCTCCTTGGAAGACAGGGGGAAAGACAGCCTAGTGGAGCGTAAGAATCACTGACGCTGGGATCTCCCTGGTGGAAGAGGATGGACGTGGGACGCGTGTGCCCTGGTGCCATTTCACTGAGCACACGGGGAGAGCCTGCCCGACCGTGAAAGGGCCGTGCGTCCCGGCCTCGGCCCCAGTTCTCGGTCTTGTCTTCCAAGAGCCTGGGGTCAGCCCAGCTTCTTGAGCTGCAGATGATACTGGACCATCTGGGCGAAGAAGCCAGAAGGAGAGCCTGCCCGACCGTGAAAGGGCCGTGCGTCCCGGCCTCGGCCCCAGTTCTCGGTCTTTTCTTCCAAGAGCCTGGGGTCAGCCCAGCTTCTTGAGCTGCAGATGATACTGGACCATCTGGGCGAAGAAGCCAGAGATGGAAAACCCCCACATGGGCAGTGGAGTCAAAATGGAGACCGTCCAAGGTCAAAGTGTCAATCCTCTGATGCATCATTTTATAACGTAGCTGACAGGTTAGACAGTCACACACAGAATTCCTGAGGACCGAAACCTGCAAGGAAGGCTCTTCCTGTTGCTGAAATGTGGACGTGAAAGAGTAATATGTTTTTGAGATGAGAGATTGACTTGAAATTGCAAGATCATGGTGGTGATGATGGATTTTCTGGTGGTCAAATTCAGAGTTGGTTGGGTTTGCCAATGAGTTCAGCATTTCTAAGTAAAAAAGCCAGACAAAGAAACAGAAATACTGCATGTTCTCACTCATAGCTGGCTGCTAGGAAGGACGGGGGGGAGGGAGGGAGGCCAGAAGGAAGGTAGGAAGGAAAGAAAAGACCACAACAATACGCTGAACTTTCAGACCAAGAGAACAATCCTAAGGATCCTAGAGATGGGAAGGAGGGAGGGAAGGGGTTTGGGAAGCGAGGACCTAAAGAAATATCACGATTTGTAAGAATGAATATGCTAATAATAAATAAAAAAATTAAAAAGAAAAAAAACCTCCACAAAGGCCTGATGTATCTGGGGGTTGAATGCCGCGTGAGAAGTCCACCCAAACTCAAGACTGGGAAGAACCAGAAATACTTTGGAGGAACCAAGTGGCCTGCCCTTTACTGCAAGGAGAGCACTGCATGGGAGCACCCACAGCCACCCCCACCTACCCTGGGCTGTCACTATGCTGCCACTCTGTGCACAAGAAGGCTGGAGCTCAGGAGGAGACCTGGTGGGCTCACAGCCAGGTTTTGTCTCGGACATTGCTGAAATCTGAGCCCAGCAGGAAATGATCTGGAAGCTTCCCTGGCCATGCCTGGAGAATCTTGCCATTAGCACTGCAAACTTGGAAACAAAAGCCATTACACCCACATTTCAACCAGATAAAAGTGACATCAAGCGTGTAAAGATTAGAAGTGACTAAGCCTAGAATAGAAATGGACTTGACTGTACAACAGGGAGCAGAGAGTTTCCAAAAGCCAAACCCAATCGTTCCAAGCACTTTAAGGGTCTGTGGGCAGACACTGGACAGTGGTCAGTGTGCTGCCTGAGCGCCTGTGACTGGGATTTCAGGGTCACTGAAGGGATAAGAGGGAAATAGACAAAAATGCGGGGACCTTACTAAACCCTACCACCCTTCCTTTGAGTACTTTTCCTGAACAAGAGAGCTAAAGCAAACGCGAAGGACCAGGCCCGGGGTGGGTGGGGACTGTCTGCTTGTGGACTCGGAATCCCAGAGGTCAAGCTGGGAAGAGAGCACACTGACCAACACAGAGCATCCCAAGGCTGCAGAGGGACTGCTCGGGCCAGAGGCATCACGTACCGATACATGAAGCACCTGGGCATGTGCACACAGGGCCTGATTCAGAAAAGCGCCGCGCGCCAGCTCCACCGACTCTGGGCAGGCCGAGTTCTGCAGGTCTGCTCACTCTCTCATTATCTCCTCCGACATGGATGCCATTCCCAGTTGAGGGTCCGGGAGACAAGGTAACCACTTAGAAATAAAACACCTTTACACACCCTCCCTCAGTCACCAAGGACCTAGCCTTCCCCTACATGGATTTGTTCTGACAGACGTGGGTGCGGAACTAGACTGTCTGTCGTGGACCGTGCACCTGCTTGCTTGTCTGTGTGTGCACATCTCGCAGCCCCGCCCTGAGCATGTGGCTGTCATGGGGGACGTTGCTATCTTAAGCTTCCTTCCATCGCTCAATGTCCTGTGAACTCCAGAAAGAGCTCAGGGTATGCAGAGCGCAGCCCGCAGCCAGGGAGAGGGGCTGAGATGCAGTGAGCGAGGACAGGGCAGATCCCAGGATTCTGTGGGGAACCCGGGCTTCCCACTGTCAGTGCCACCCCCGCCATCACCTGCTTTCTGGTAGGCTTGCTCTGGAGCTCAGAACGCCAAAGGCCGGAGCAGTAGCCTCCACTGCCTAGTGGGCGCTGACAGCCCTGGCCTCACGCTCTCACCCAGCTGTGCTCACCGGGAGTCAGGAAGGCCCCAGCACCCACCTCCAGAGGGCCATGAGGGTAACGGGACAGGAGGCTGGCCGAGGCACAGACAGGAGCGGTCGAGCGCCCTGCAGGAACCTGGAGATGGTCGGATGGCGGTGGTGGATGTTTGTGTGGTCTCGGTATGTGCCAGAGCTTCGGGGAAAATGACAAAACCAAATCGCACAGAATGACTTTCCCCAGGCAATACCATGGATCCAGATCCCAGCATGGCCATGTTACAAAAACAACGTTTTCCCCTCCATGGGCATCACTGGACTTTCACCAATTTCAGGAGATACAGAAGTGAACTCTTCAAGCACGCTTCAAGGAGTTTCAGAGGGAAACCGAGCTCAAGGAAGATCCATACTTCATTAGCCTGGTCAATAAGCAGGAGCAAGGGTCCATCTGACCTTTAACCTTTCACCCCAGTTTGTGGTATTTCACCCAATTCCTTCACGCACCCTAGTGGTGAGATCAAGGGCCTACGCGGCCGTGCACAGGAGGTACATTCTTTGGAGACAGGCTACCTGCACCTGATTGGGGCTTCCCCCTGGGGAGGAAACATCCTCTAACAAGGAAGAGCTCGATGCCATAATATGGGACCCCTAACCCTACAGCACCCCGTCCTGGCAGCGAGTCTGGGGCACCAGGAAGCCTGTCTAAGATGGGACTTGGTGGGAGCTGCCCCGCCAGGAGCATGGCAGTACTTTTAGTAAAGTGTGTGGTTGGGACTCTCTGTAACCAGGCTCTGGCCTCAGGCCCCTACTCTACTGGGAAGATCTATAGAAGGATTCTTGATGGCAAGACACAAACATCAGCCAACGGGAGCTGACGAGAGGACAGCATCCTCCCTACAGTTTCCCCCAAGAGTCAAAGTCACCCTCGGGCCCAAGAAAAAGCGGGGCGACCTCTGTCCACCGACGTGTGGGAAGGAAACACAGAACACGCTGAGGTATGGCCCAAGCGGGAGCAGCCTGGACTGTTTGCACCTCGGATGAATATTTTTCGTTTTCAAACAAATCGGAGCCCTCACGGATTTCTGCATTCTGCCCTGGCATACGCACATACACTGTGACGATATAATCCTTTAATTTTTGGAACTGGAAAATTTCTTTAATTCGATCTATGCTTGTATAACACAAATGTCCGAGACTCCACCACCCACCCAACCTGGTGCTCAGGCCCAATTTATAAGCAGCCAGCTACGTAAATGTGTGCATGGCTGTTAGGTAGCATCTCCAAACAATTAAATGAAAAAAGATAATATTTATGCATGTGTGTGTGTGTGTATATATATATATATATATATAAAACCATGGAATTCTTAATTCTGGCCCAAGGTAACAGATCGGGCATTTGGTGCCCCTCGCTGAATATCTAGCAAAGGCAGGATTTAAGGGCCTCCTTGTCTGGGTCAAGGCTGGCCCCTGAAAGAAAGGTGATGGAAGACCAGGTCACCAGAAAGCATATGCCCACCTGTAAAACTGCATTTCCAATGTATGTGTATATATGTGTGTGTGCATGTGCAGATGTGTGCATGTGTGACAGGTGTGTGAGGTGTGTTGCCAGAGTAGAAAACACCAGTGTATTCCGTTCATACTAAGCATGTTAAATAAATCAGATTTTTGTAACCTATAACACAATTCTTTTTTAAAAAGGAACATTGAAGATCTTCAAAAATTGCTACGGTACAAAAAAAGTGTGTGTGTGTGTTTGTATTTATATATTTATATATATATATATATATTAACCAGAAATAGTGACTCTATCGGAAGAGATTGCCACCCCTGTTTTCTGTAAGATTTCTACGCGTGATCCGCCCGGCCCCGGCTCTGCGGCCGAGCCTTTCGGGTCGGTACATGGCACATAATGGTATTATTGGCACAGCTTCAGAATCGTAGTACGAATCCCAGGTTCCGGATGCTCCCTCCTGTCCTTTTCACTCGGTCTCCTTTTCTCTCTGTCTCCAGTTCCTTTCTCGCATGTCTTCCTTCTGTTCTCCAAAGAAAACTCCGGGAGAAGGCAGTCACCCATAGGCTTGAGCATTTTTACAAAAATAGATTTGGCCTTGAGCGTCCTGCTCTGTGAGTTTCCCAACGGCAAACAGAAGTGGCAGGTGCGGGGACCCTCCCCTTAGACAGTTTAGTTTTAGGTTTTGTATTTTTTTGTTTTGTTTTGTTTTTACAGGTTCACCAACGGAATCCTGTGTGGAGAGAAAACAGGAAGAGGTTAAACGGCAGCAGCCCGAGGGTACGGGGATCTGGGGGGCTCAGGGTCCGGCTGAGCCTCTGCATGCAAGGCCCAGCCCCTCTCCTCAGTTAACAGACGCCAGGAGTCCCAGGAATACCAAGTGGGGGCCCGGACCTTGTACTAATTACTGGTGATCTACAGAGGTCTGGGCTTCCTAAGGGAGGACTGGGATCACCCCCATTCCCTCCTGGGGATGCTGCACCCCATGCGTGCACACCGGCCGGCCTGAGTGTGTCCACCAGCGCTCACTCCCTGTCCAGTCCCGGCTCGTGAAGGGCAGAGCTGTGCCCGCTTGGCTCCTGCACTGCAGGAAGAGATGGAGGCCGTTTCCACCCGCCAGGACTCGGGAGAGACGAATGGACTGTGTCAGAACCACCACCTCCTGGACCTCCCCAGGGGTGGTCTTGCTGAGGGGAAAGGAAACTGAGTCCCACCTGCGTGCAGGTCGGCCCTGAGCCAGCCTGTGTGTGCAGCTTGGAAGATGGGAACCATTTTTCTAGCTCAGGGAGAGGCCCCAGCAGGTCTGCGTCCTACAGAGAGTCCGACAGTCACCCTGGGCACTCATGGCCAGGTGAGCTGGAATATGTCACAGCCCAGCCTGCTCGGGTACTGTTGCTGGAAGCTACATCTCAGTTACAGGGATGGGATGCTGTGTGTGTCCCCCACTGTCCCTCAGAGCTCCCACCAGCACCCCACAACCACAGGCAATTCATTACGACTCTCAAAAAATAAGAAGAGAATGCCTTTGCAGCCTCATCTACACAGATGCTGCAAATCAGAAAATGGGGGGGTCCCCAAATTGCAGTTGGGAAAAGCACTGGGGTAGGGGGAATGCCCTCACTTTCCCAGACCCAGCAAGTGGCCTGACCAGCAAGCGATTCAGAAATAGATTCCTGGGCCCCTGTCTGGAGACCTGAGTCAGGTCCTCTGGGCAGGGTCAGTGATGGTGGGTTTTTAAGAGCTCCCCAGGGGATTCCGCTGCCAGTCAGGCCCAGGTCATGGCAAGCGATTCAGAAATAGATTCCTGGGCCCGTGTCTGGAGACCTGAGTCAGGTCCTCTGGGCAGGGCCAGTGATGGTGGGTTTTTAAGAGCTCCCCAGGGGATTCCGCTGCCAGTCAGGCCCAGGTCATGGCCCAGCTCATCTCAACAGATGAGGGTGTGGTGTACTTTCTCCTGAGCCAACTAAGCCCAGTGCAGTGACTCTGGCTGGGACTGTGGGCTGTAAGCACCAGGTGGCATACACCTGCAGGCTGTGGACGCATCCTGGTAGTGGCTGGCCCGGGAGAGCTCCGCCTGCTCAGCCCCGTGTTTGTTATCTGCACCATGAGCCTCCACACCTCAGATCTGTTCAACAGGGGGCAGAGGTGCGAGTTCCTCCCCTGGGCCCCTCCCAGTCTGGACGACAGAGCCCAGACCCCTGAGCATCCCCTCTTCTCGCCTCTACCTCCAAATGACACCAGTTTGGGCAACTCTATGAGGCCCCAAATGGAGGGTCCACTCAGCTACTGTGGAAATGCCCATAGCCACGTGCGTAAAGACGCGGGACATCCCATGGGGTTGACGCCGGACCTCTCCTGGTAGCCCTTACTTCAGCTACGCCCCACCCCTACGGACCCCCCCCATGTCTCCAGGACTGGGGGTGGGGTGTTCAACACAGAGAGAAATGTCCTTCTCGCATGTCCATCTTCTTTCTAATTTTTTGAAAGTTAAAAAATGTGGACAAATACTGCGTGATTCCAGACATATGAGGTCCCTAGTGTAGTCAAGGTCACAGAGGCAGAGATGGGGGCAAGGGGCTGGGGTGCGGGTGTGGGGAGTCATGGTTCAAGGGGTACAGAGTTTAACACGGGATGAGGAGAAGTGGTATAGAGACGGAGGTGGCAGTGGTGGTACAATGACATGAATGTGCTCAATACCCCTTGAAAATGGTAAAAATGGGAACTTTTATGTTATGCATGTTTTACTACAATTAAAACATGTTAAAAAATTAAAAACGGGGTCACTGGAGGTGGGGCTTGGTGATCCCATACCCGGTCCTGGTGGCCTGGGGCATCTGTCCCTGGCCCCTGACTGATGATCGTTAGCAACCACCCTGCACTCTCAGAGGTGCCCAGGGTTGGAGAGTACGCCGCAGGAGGCCCGCCTTAACAAGAAAGGTTTCCTGCATGAACCGCTGCCAGGGCTGCTTTCCAATCCTTGACCCTGACCCCGAACACACATCAAGGCCAGAGGAGCAGCTCTCACCCCCTCCCCCGCCAGCCATTCTCCCGGAGTTGTTCCCAGGTAGACTGTATCCTGCCGTTTTCCTATTTATTTATTTATTTATTTCCTTTTTTGTCTTTTTTCGTGACCGGCAACGGATCGCAACCCTCAGTGTCACGCCCGTACTGGACCGGGACCGGCCACGGGATCGCAACCCTCGGTGTTGCCCCCGCACCTCGCTCAGCCAGTGAGCGGCCGGTCTGTATGTGGGATCCGAACCCTCGGTGGGAGCGCTGCCGCGCTTCCCAAGCGGCGCACTGTAGCAGTGCACCACCGGGCCGGCCCCGTTTTCCTATTTAAAGAGCATTCTGCTTCCTACACTGGCTCGTGGATCCTTCCAGACTCACCCTTCCCTCTTCCTCTTCCCCATCATGTTCTAGGCAGCACCGTAACCTCAGATTGTAAATCTTAAACCACACATCCTTCAGGTTTCAGCTAAAAAGGGTCCTCTCCTTGGGGAGGACTTCTCAGACAGCCCTTCCCTTCCTAAACGTGCTCTGAGTCTGATTTCTGTCTCCTGGGGGTGCTGCGCACTACGTCTCAGCTGTAGGACAGTCTGGGCGTGTGTGTGACGAGGCTAGCCGGACACTCCCTGAGCACGGCGCACTCCCCCTGCCAGGTTCAGCCTCGCTTCATTCAGGCCCCAGCCCTGTGCTGCCCAGGGTGGGAAATCTACTCTAAATGGAGCTAAGAGAAGTGGCGTGGGCATGAACGCAGCTTGGTCCTTGGCCCTGGGACTAATCCTTAATAGCCTGACACGGCCTCCAGGTGCTGCCTGCAGGTGGATGCTGGAGGGAGAGACGCAAGGCGGACCGTCAGGGATGGGCTGCAGCCTGCACCCAAGTACCAGATGTCTCTGCAGCTACGCGGGGAAGGGAGCCTCTTCCAAATCTATAGGCAAGTCTCTCTACCCTGTGTCTCAGGATGAAACGGAGAAAGACGGAGAGATGGTGCCAACCCTGGGGGGCGGGGGCTTCCCTGCAAGGGCCAGGCAGGTTCCCAGCACCAGGCCTGGGAGAAGGGGTTTGGGAATGCCCACGGTCACCTTGCAAGCATGCCCTAAGTTCTTGCCAAAACCCTGATGCTCAAACTTCAGCTCATAGGGGAGTGCTTGGATTTTTCTGTTCCCAAGGCTCAGCACATGAGCCTCTCAGACTAGCACCAAGCCCAGAGGGACTGAGGAACCCAGGCCGGTTAGGAAAGACAGACAAGGTGGGCCCCAGAACCTCTAGCTGGAAAACACACATGGGCAAAGGCAGGCATCCACAAGAGGTTCCCAGAGCCTTCCGCTAAAGGGGGAAGCAGGTGTGTGGTGCCAAGTGATCTCTGAGATCTGGACCTGGGATAAATTCTGCCCTCTGCTGCCTAGAAGGGGATTCTCAGCTGGCCTGGCCCCCATCGGGCTGCAAACATCACAGGGGGTCACTGGGTATAATAGTCAGTGTCTGTTTTTGCAAAACAAAGAGAACAAGCAGACTAGGTGCCCCTGGGCACAGCAGCTACTGGTTAATTTCTCCACGATCTAAAAGGGCCACTTCCCCTCAAAGTTTTTTCAATGCTGATTCTCATTTTTTTTGATGCTGGATGTTTCTTTGAAAAAAAGTGTTTCTTTGAATTACAAAAGCTAGATATTCTATTAATGTATTTAAAAAAAAAAAAAAAAAAAAAAAAACGTGGGAAGGCTCAGGTGCGTTTCTTATTTCTTTTTTATTAGTTATGTCATCAATGTGTTTTTGAAAATAATAACACATGATTTATTTCTCACTTGCTTCAGATTCAAGAGCTTTTATGACTTTGCAGGCTCTGTTTGGAATAAAGTGGCCTTGGCAAATGCAAAGAGCTGAACACTAATGAGGTTTTCTGAAGTTTACTTTTTATATGAAAAATGACAGGAAATTAGCCCCTGTGCCAACAGCAGGCCAGCTTCATTTTCTCCTTGTCCGCTGCAATTCTGTCCCACCAGGGAGGTGGTCTGAGGCAAGAATCTGCTGGAATCTATCCTAGAGGCTGAAGCTAGGGACACAGAGCACACACCTGCCCAGGAGCCACGGGCGTCCCAGACCACCTGCCCTGCAGGACAGCAGACTCAGCCACAGTTTGGGTACCAAATGTGCATAGAGGTTAGAGTGAGAAGACATTGGTGGTGTAAGAAACTGCTATGTCATCATTAAAAATGCATTTGGAGAGGCTTAACAGCTATGCAAGAGATAAATATCTCCACTGGCTCTTAAGCCTTAATTAAATGTTTTAGCATTAATTGCTATTTATTTAAGGGACAAGAAGCACCCTAGTAAATCTGAGCTACTTTCTTGCTTTTCTCTGCCCGGTGCTCATGTTCAGGCATTAATTGCAAGAATCAGGAGATACTTAGAATCCAAATGCTCTCGTCCAGTGAGTGATAAACCGTCTGTCCGGCACGAGGTGACGGAATCTTCAAGCATTTATCAAGGACTAATGAGGCGGTTTGCATAGCCCTCTGGTCCCACCTATGGAAAAGGAGGCTGCCAGGAGTGAGCTTTGTGTCAACAGACATGGTGGCTGAGCCCAGCTGGCTCTGGGTAGGTGGCCTCTTGGCTCTTCTCTGCTCCCCAAATAACCTACTCAAGATCCACAGGGCAACGGCCAAGCTCTTTGGACAAGAGAGATTCCCTAGTGTAAATAATATAGATGGAGGTGGTCCTGGAAAAGCTTAGGCAGTTGGGAAGTGGGGTCCACTTGGGGCCCAATTGGGGGCACTGGCACCTTGTGCTTATGCCTGGGAGTGGCACTCAGAGAGGGCACCGGCACTGTTGGGGGTGGGGGAGGCTTCAGTGCTCCATGTTGCTGGAAGGGGATAACCACGCTGATGAGGCAGGGAGGTTTTCTGGAGCAGAAAACCCCAATTTCCCCCCAATTTTAATTTTTGTAAAAGTCAGTGCTGTGGCTCCCCACTCTGATGCCAGAGAGCAGTCCCTGCGTTCAGGCTTTTGGATGCTTAGGAGCTGGCCTCTGCCCTGCAGGGTCTGGCTGAACATCCCTGAGATGCCAATTTTGTTGGAAAGCCCATCTTCGTCTCCCACCCAGTTGGGTGTGGGTGAAACGGGGACCGAAGCACACACACAGGAGGGCTGGGTCTAGGGCATGGCCAGGGGGTTTGCAAGCCACACTCTTGGACAGTTGGGCAGCATGCGCCCTGGAGATGGACAGCCTGGGGATGATCCAGCCCCACCACCTACAATCTGACTGACCTTGGCCAAGTCACTTTACCTCCCAGTGTCTCAGTTGCCCCACCTGTAAATGGGGTTGCTGGGAGGACTGAACCAGTTCCTATACATAAAGAGTGCTCCTGTGAACAGCCATTTGAACATCCACATTAGGGAACTGTCCCTCTAGGGAGGCTACCTGGAGACAAAGGTGGGGCCTCCAGTTCTGAGGGCCTGCGGTTCTTGGAGGGCGGGAGTGGAGATCTTTGACACAGACCCAGCATCTCCCAGGTCAATGAATTCGGCCTCAATGCACTATAAAAATCCTAACTGAGATGCTGGCAGCCACCTAGCCCGGCAGAAGCTCCACCAGGCGAGTGGGAAAGCCGCTGCTAATAAGCAAGCTCCCGTTGCTAGCTTGGCTGAAACTCTGGAGGGGGCTCCGTCTGTAGCCTTAATGAGGTGAGTCACATTGAGGCAGACAAAGGCACATGCTTCTGATGGATGTGCCCTGCCCAGCGCATCCCGAGGAACGGCTGGGGACAGACCGCGTCCTGCCCACCCTGCCCACACAGACTCAGCAGAGGCCTTTGCAGGGCGGCTCGCTTCCCATTCTAATCTAATCACATCTCTCTGCCCGTTGGCGGAGCATTTTGGCTTCGGGACAGGGAGTGAGGGCTGGAGATTTGATTTGGAGCAAACATGCGATTCATTAGCGCCGGGATTAGGAACTGACCGATGCGTTCCTGCTTCTGGCTGCAGCTGGCTCCCCCGGCCCCCAGCTAGTTGCCACAGGCTGAGTCCTCGAGACCCTCCCTGCCTCCGGGCCTTCAGCCCACTCTCTCCACAGCATGTTCCCTTCAGTCCCCAGGGTCAGAAGGTGAGCAAAAAGTAAGAAAAACATTTTCAATGATCGATATCCCACCCTGGAAATAGGGCTCGCTGCTCACGCAGGTGAGCTGATGTCACATTTAGAAGGACCATCTGGGGGAAGAGGTTTACCCAGTGAACGAGCAGAACGAACGAGATGAGAATCCTTAGAAAGCCTCGCCTTGAAAAGAAAAACAAGCCAAAGAACAAAGACAGAAACAAAACCCGGGTGCGTGTATAGACGTGCACGTAGCACGTCCGGAGCGTGCAGTCGTGGGGGCGAGATGCTCTTCCCCAGCAGCCCGCATGCTCAGAGACGCAGCACAGAAGAAAGCAATTTAGCGTTAGCATTGAAGTTAATATCACTGAAAGCAAACCAAATGTTCCTATCCACCAGAGCGTGGAAAATTCATCCTGTTTTGGTGCCGGTCCCTGGCTTCAAATTAGTAGATGTCCCAACCCTTCACTTTCTTTCTTTATCATTTTCCTTCTTATCTCTTATTTTTATATTTCAAAATTGTACTTTAATTCTGCCTCGCGCCCTCCCCCAGTGTAAAGGCGTGGGATGGAGGTGTGATTCCCGCCCACCCGGCCCCACCCTCCTCCCCTCCTGTTGCAGGAGGTGGCACTGCCACTAGGCTTGTTTCAGGAGATGGGTTTCCCGCCACACGGGCCAGAAGAAAGCAATTTAGCGTTAGCATTGAAGTTAATATCACTGAAAGCAAACCAAATGTTCCTATCCACCAGAGCGTGGAAAATTCATCCTGTTTTGGTGCCGGTCCCTGGCTTCAAATTAGTAGATGTCCCAACCCTTCACTTTCTTTCTTTATCATTTTCCTTCTTATCTCTTATTTTTATATTTCAAAATTGTACTTTAATTCTGCCTCGCGCCCTCCCCCAGTGTAAAGGCGTGGGATGGAGGTGTGATTCCCGCCCACCCGGCCCCACCCTCCTCCCCTCCTGTTGCAGGAGGTGGCACTGCCACTAGGCTTGTTTCAGGAGATGGTTTTCCCGCCACACGGGCCACACTCGTGGTAGCTTGCCTTCGGGACCGAACGGTGCTGACCGTCATGGTCCTGGTGCTGAATTGGGGCTCACGAGCATCCATTACTGTCCCCCATTGGGAGATGAAGGGCACGTCTAACATGCAGCTTACACACCCAAAGCCCAGCCCTCTGGTTTGCATTCAGAAAAGTAACGCCATTGGAAATCCACCTGCCACATCAAGAAGGGCTCCTAATTATCCCAAAGTGGAGACAGGGAGGGGACAGGGGTAGGTGAAGAAAAGGGGATTAAAAAAGAAAATCAACATTCAAAGAAAGGCACCTACCATGAAATAGACACATGGCGTCTGCCCTGCCCCCAGGAGGTAAAAAAGACTTCGGCCAGTCAGCAGGAGATTTCAAACCATTTCTCAGACACGAAGGCCACAGGAATCAGATGCCGATCAGAAGAGGAAGGTCTGCAGCAAGCAGAAAAACGGGTTTGTGCATGCTGGTGTGTAACCCGCCGTGGGCAAGCCGACCAGGCCTGCTCTGGACAGCCACTTCCTGAGAAGAGAACCCAGGAAGGACATGCCCCACTCGGGCCCACTGGCCTCGGGCAGGAAGGGACCCCCTCCCCGCGGCTGGGGAGAGGTCTTCATTTGCTGACACCCACAGCACACCAGGACTCTGATGTGGAGGCCAGAAGGCTGGTGGTGTTCCCCTCACCACCTACCCCCCGAGTTGTGTCATCTCCAGAATTTAGTTTTTGAATTTGCAGGACAAGCCCAGAGCCCAGGGTCTCCACCTCTGATGGCAGAGACGTGATGCATTTCGTTGCACGTGACAGAAAGGACAGGACCTGCCTCCTGAAATGTCTCCCCCATATTTCTTCACCGTTGAGACTAAGCTACCATTTCCCAAGGCCAGTGAGATCCCACAGAGCATCACCTTGGGCCAAAAAGCAAAAACCTGACACTTCCATGCCAGGGCATGAGAATGCCTGCTCCATGCTTGGACAGGGCACATCACACCACACGGCACAGAGTGGCAGAAAACCAAACAACGAGGACCAACCCACAACCCTCCCTCCCTCCCCCAAAAGGCCAAAGCCCTGGTGGGCCAGGGTCCATATCTGAACTGACACACATACGTTCAATGAAACGGTTTGAAAATCCTTTTGCCAATTCTTTGTCAACTCCGCATTCTGGAAGCCTGAGATGCCACCACCAAGCTCCTCAAATGTCTGAGTGTGAAATCAAAGAGATTCAGGACAATAGCCCTGAGCCCCTCTGTCCTCCACTGGAAGGGAAGGAGTGTCTGAGGACAGAGTGCTGCAGAGTCCACGAGGCGCCATGAGAGGAGGCGCAGAAGACCCCTGCTCGTTCCAGCTGCCAGCATAGGACACACTGGTTGCGGACTCGGCAGATGCCCCGCATGCCTCGATCACCGGGGTCCTGCTTTCCTGCCTCGAACAATCGGCAAACAGCATAGACGTGAGCACGCTGCCCACCCTTTCCCAAAGTGAGCCCCGTCGAGCTGCCTCACCCTTGGTCCCATACCAGGGGGAACCCTTTAGGAGACCCTGGGCAGGGTCCCTCAGCTGCTAGCAGTGAGCCCTTGAAGGCAGCCTCGTGGCCTACTCACTTCTTCCTATGATATTTAAGTTGTTGGAGGTTTTATTTTTTAATTTACAAAATGATGCATGAGCAAACACTCGCTTAAAAAAAATACCTTATTGATATTTTAATTGAATTCTGGACAAACCTTCAGAAGCTGGCTCAAGGGTTTATGAAACGTTCCCAGGGGTGGTTGTTGGGGTCTGTCTCCTTTGAGGGATTACACATGAGTAATGAAAAAGAGCATTTAATAAAAACATTTGGTCTGGGAGTCTGGTTGGAATTTGGTATTTTTGCTAGATTTGCTGCTGACATTTTATTGATGGGTGCTCAAAGATCCTGACTCTGGGAGGGACCAGTTGTAATTTGCTGATATTCTGGAGGCCAATTTGGACTCTGCAGGATTACGGCTGGCCGCACGGCCTCGGTGGTGTGTAGCCAGGGCTGGGGAAGGCGCGCTTCCATCCGCCGCCCAGGTTTAGGGTCTGGAAGGGAACGCTCGCTGCTGCATTCTTGGGGTGGCAAAACACCTGCTGATCTATACCCTGCCCCTCCTGTTTTGCCAAATCAGCTTCCTGCATCTTCTGGGCTCCTCAAAGCGATCTAAGGAATGACTTACACTGACCAGTAGCCCTAAGCTGGGCCGTGCCCGGCTCTGGGGTCTGGGCCACCAGGAGCTCCATGACTTCGGGGCCCGAGCCTGAGCTTACCGGTTTCCATTAAATGTGGACTTGTACTCCCCCGTCGGGTGCAGCGTCTCATCCGTGTACACGGGCGCCGATGCCCTGACACACTCGTGGGAACACTGGAGGGTCTCATTGTAGGCCGTGAATATGTCCAGGCTGCTGGGCACCCGGGCAGGGGTGAAGTCGGTCAGGTTCTGGCAGCTCTCTTCCTGCTGGTTGGTCTTCCTCTGGTGGCTGTTCCGACGAGTGTTCCTGCTTTGGGCACAGCTGGAAGAGAGAGAGGCTGGGGTGGGGGGCGGCCGAGGCCAAAACCCACCAGCGCAGCTCCAGCGTTTCAACGGTGGAACCCTCGCTTCCAGGCATTAGTTATACCGCATTTAATATCAAGTGGTAATTCCCAACCTCTCAGAAAGATCAGCCACAATCAAGCAATCTGCTCTTTTTAAAAATTTATATATAAAATAAAATTTGAATTTTAAATGCGGCCATTATCAAAGGAAGAACTATGAGGTAAGCCATCGAGCTGTGTCGTCGCAGAGCTGGTGCCTTGTTTGGCTGAAGAATGTCAGCCAGACAGTGCGCTGCTGACTCGGTTTCCCCATTAATGCCTCGTGGGATGAGAACTGTGGTGGTTGCTGGCTGCTAGAGGGGCCTTGAGAGTGTGGGAGCCTTTGGGCACAGGCTGGGGTAGTCCGTGCCTTCACTTCAGAATGGACATGCCACTGTCTTTGGGGACAATTGATAAGGTGGGAACCCCTGTCCACATGCACAAGCTGGAAATGATGGGAGCCTTTGGGCACAGGCTGGGGTAGTCCGTGCCTTCACTTCAGAATGGACATGCAACTGTCTTTGGGGACAATTGATAAGGTGGGAACCCCTGTCCACATGCACAAGCTGGAAATGATATGGGATCGTCCTCTGCCCCCATAGGGTCTACTAAGGGAACTGTCCTGCCTTCCAATGGACACCTGCCTTATTTTCCTGTTCCTCTGGACCAGAGAGGCTTCCAGAGGCCACTTAGGATGAATGTGGGAATCCCACTCTCGTCAGTCGAGGGATTTGACCACAGGGGTCTTCAGGGACATCCCTGGATGCCACTTATAAGACAAGGTCACAAGAAGGTCTGGAGGGGTGGCAAGGAGGAAACTCCCCTCAGCTTGGGGAGCCACGCAATCTTCCCTCGGTCAGGATACCATCTCCCCTTCCCCCGATGCTCAGAGCTGCTGTGGAAACAGGGGTGCAGGGGGCAGGGGCTCACGGGCCTGTTTCCTCACAAATCTTGGTATTCCCAGTGAGACGGATCCTGACTCCTGGGGTAGAAACCCCACCCCAAAAATGAAAGTGAAGGGGTGAATGCAGAAGCCAGAGGCCAGCTGCACCCCAAAAGTCTTTCTGCAGGGGAAGGCCAGGTTCCTGGAACCCACTCACCCACCCCCAGGCTGTTCTCCCTGAAGGGCTCTTTGAAGGTTTGCTGCAAACCCCAAAGTGTTAGAAAATGAAGGAGAAGGCCTGGCTGCCTGTCACCCATGGGCCACAAAGTCTGCCATCTCCTTGGGAGAGATGAAGCTGCTCATCAAGATGGGATTTGTGTCGCCGGACACACACTTGGTCTAGGAGTCCTGGAGCCCCTCCTCTGGCCAGCACCTGCCTAAGAAGCTCTGCTATGAACTTCTCTGTGGTCCTTGCCACCTGTCCCCAGAAAACACCAGGGACCCAGTTTGCTGGCCATCAGGAGGCAGCTTCAAAGTCTCGCTGGGTGGGCAGGAGGTTTGTTCTGGGGCTGTGCCACCACCTGTCACTAGGTCCCACCTGCTCTGATCCCAGAGCTTGGCTTTGTCTCCCATGTCTACATGTTTCCCTGTTATTCAGAAGCTCAGGTGCTGATTCTGCCCATCAGCCCTGCCTGTGTCCATATTACTATCTGCAGGCAGCGTGGGGATCACTTGGGTCTATTACTCCACAAGGGAATTTCGGCTTTGATGCTAAAAGGAGACACAGTTGCTACAGAAGCGGCTGCAGGCAGGTGGAGGCAGGGTCACCCAGCAGCTCCTGACTTTCTCAGGGGTGTACCAGGTATGTACACCCAGTAAGGCTGTCCTAAAGTAGGCCAATTTCCAGGCAAAGCCAGGCAGCCTGGAGCAAAGCGGTAACCTAGTTCAGAGACAGAGTGGCGGAGAGAGGAAGGAGGGTTGCAGAAGAGGCTGGCCGCGCAACCGGCCACCTGAGACCGCGAGGGGCTGGTGCACGATCCTACCAGGCTGCTGGCAGGGAGGCCGCTGTCCCTGCTTTTCCAGGGAAGGGCCAGAGGAAATAAGCAATGGGGACCGTGCTCTGGGTGGGCAGCATCCAAGGGTACACTTGGATCCAGAGAAAGAATTCGGAGACAGGAAGAGCATGCAGCCTGAGAAACGATGGAATGAAGGCTGGGCTTGCTG